GATTCATCCAATTTTGGTATGACCAGATTCCATTTGAAAATGTTGGATATTTGCCCAAAAAAATTATGATTTTTTTAGAAAGTGTATTTTTGTCTCTAATAGATTATGGGTTTACTTGAAAATTAGAGTATACATTCGAATCTGGTTTATTATCTCAAGAATTAAGTTCATGTTAGGATTTTACATGGAACTTTACAAGGGATTTTCTTGGAAATTAGGGTTTATTGTTGTTTTTGTCACTGATTTTATCTTCTTCTTTTTTTCAAATTTAAGTGTACGAATAATTGATTTTACAATTGAATGTTGTTTTGTAGTATCCTTAAATGCCTCTAACTTCTCAAAAAAATTTGCTTTGTGGTTTTGCAATCTATACCATTTGTCTGACCAGAACATTCTTGGCAGACGACTTCTGTTATTTTCGACATTTTGAATGGGATAAAACAAACTATCGAGAATTGAACTTAGTTGTGCATGTCTATACTATATATAGTTGTATATTTGACTTGAATAACTATTTGTTATACGAATTCACTATTCATTACATTATTTATTGCCATTGAAATTTGTTTATATTAGTGTTGCAGATGGAATTTGATTATCATTTGTCCGAGACGGGTAGATGCCCACAAATGTGGCTCCTTGCGCATCAAAATTCCATGAAGAGCTAGTAGGCCTCCCTACACTAGGATTGTTCGCAAGAAGGATTCAATTTGTGGAAGAACATTATGTTGCCATTAAAGTTGAAGTGGTCGTAAATTTTTGGGAATTTGAATTTTGATGAGTGTTGTTACTTATTTTGGGAATTTGTATTTTGATATGTGTTGTGACTTACTACGTGGTTCATTAGGAACGGTCTGTTGCATGTTTTGTTATTTTGTGGCATTGAGATGGCCTTATTGGATTGCCTTTTTTCTTCGAAAATTGTGAAGCAAGATTTTGGTTCTTATTTTCGTGCTTTAACCAACTAAGCAAATTGGATTATGTTTAATGTACAAACCGTATGTTACACAAACTCGGCAAATTAGAGATAAAGCATTAGTTCTATTGTCAGGTCTATATTATTTTGAAGGATATTTGTAATACAACGATTTGTGCAATATTAAATGCTCAATGATTTATACACAAATACCATAAAAAAGGTTGATTTTGGTAAATCTTAATGAATTACAAAGTCCAGACATCAAAATGGTCGCACTACTGAATCAAACTGTCCCCCATGCAATACGACGAATCTCAAATATTCACTCATACTTGAACGTAAGCAAACTAAAATAATAAGCATACCGTACAAAATTAATGTATTGTAATTTGAATGCATATACAATATACTTTTGAATAACTTCTACCAATTTCAAATTGGTTAGACATACATTTAAAATATCTATCTAGACAAGCTATGAAATGTTGAGATTAACATTCGAATGTCTATCTTGACAGTTTACAACTGTCGAGATGGGATATAGGATATATGATGTGAAAACATTCTTTTTGAAGTATTAAATACGTTAATCAATAGTCAACTATCATATGAGCAACTTTAACTTGGAAGATAAATCCACTGTGATTTTAACTTTAATATTTCAGTTCTTCTACGAGAAATTCATTTAGGCTTTTGAGAGACATTTTCACTTCTTCGTATCAAGAAAATGTTAGAAAATAATTTTTTTAAAAAATATACTTATGAGTATAACTTAATTTCATGGTTAGTTTTTTCAACAAGTCACACATCAAGTCTTGACATTAAGCTCATGTTTGGTAGAGATTAAAATCAGATTTTTAATAGAATTTAATAGAAGTCGATAAAATGTATAGTTGAAAAGTTGTGGGACCCATAAAACATGTGGTTCAGATTAATTTTTGACTTATATTAAAATTTTAATTTTAATTCGTACCAAACATGGCCTAAATGTGTTAAAAAAGTAATGAAAATGGTAAATTGAACTTTTGCACTAAAAGAAATGACATTTTTACAAGATTTTGAAAAAGTGACATTTTTAGGTGTATTTTCCTATTAGTAATATCTATGCAAATGCGGCTTCTCTAAATGTGCATCATTTATAAATTTAGTAATATCTATGCAAAAGCCAACCCATTATTATTTCTCTTTACAAACCATTTATAAATTTGCCATATGGACAAGTGGTTTATAACCAGATAAACTAGATTCACTTGATCTCCTGCAATTATCCTTCTCCTTGGCAGTAGCAAGAAAGAAAACTCCAAAACTAGTAAGGACCCGACCGAAAGGGGAGATTCTGCACGTAACAGAACAGAGAAGACGCTAACAAGAGTGTGGAGTGGCAACCGTTAGCAGAGGAAACTTTTTATGAATAGTGAGTCCAGTGGCTTCAGTCATGTCCATATCACTCTCTTTTCCTCCATTTGGCAATGCAAAGTTGAATTTATGCACCAGTTTTGCCAATGCAAGCTCATTAACAGCTATGGCAAATGTAGCACCTGGACAACCTCTCCGACCAGTACCAAATGGAATCAACTCAAAGTTAAGCCCTTTGAAGTCTATGTCCGTTTCAAAGAACCTTTCTGGACGAAATTCTTCGGGGTTTTTCCACAATGACGGGTCTCTTCCAATTGCCCAAGCATTGACAATCACTTGTGTGCCTGCTGCAATGTCATAGCCCATGAGTTTAACGAATTGGGTTGACTCTCGAGGAACCAACAATGGAATAGGAGTATGAAGTCGCAAACTTTCTTTAATCACTGCTCTCAAATACTGCATTTTTTCCAAATCATCTTCGGTTATCTCTAACTTGCTTCCAGCTACTTGTCTAACCTCATTTTGCAATTTTTCCAAGATTGTTGGATGCCTTAAAAGCTCCGCCATTGTCCATTCCAACACAGAATATGTTGTATCAGTTCCAGCCGCAAATACATCCTGTCAAATAAAAAGATGCATGAAAACATCTGGATTCATAATATCATATTCCTATATTTAAAATTTTAAATTACTAAAATAAGAAAAAGTTATTTTGGTAATTCATCTCCAAATTCTAAGTCCATATTGAAATAATAAACAATTAGAGTGACGAGACAAGATTTATAAAGCCGACTCCAAGTTTATTGAGAAAAACAAATTTACTCTCCTAGATAGAGTAGACTCTTACGAGGATGAGAGCTTTGATCACATCAGTTTCCAGTTGAAAACCAGCCCCGTTTTCGCTCTGAATTTCAAGCAATATGTCCACAAAATCTGATCCATTTTCATCAGTATTGCCATCATGCATTCTCTCTCCTTTCTTTCTATCCCAGTGTTCTTCAACTACGCCCTCCAAAAATTCATCAAACACTTTAGCCACTTTTTCCACTTTGGCATTCAAACCATTGAATTTATTAATCCAGGCAAGCCATGGAATGTAATCCCCTACACAGAAAGTACCCAGTAAGCCCACAAAATCCCTCAACAACGATTTGAATTTTTTTCCTTCTTCTCCAACACCATATTTCCTCCCCAATGCCGCCCTGCACACTATATCATTTGTAAGCGACACAAAAATATCGCTCAAGTTTATTGATGAAGATGAAGAACACAACTGTCTAATTTTCTCGACCATAAAGGATGTTTCTTCTTCTCTTATACGCTGAAAAGATTGAACCCGCTTGTTACTCAAAAGCTGTAGCACACATATGCTTCTCACTTGCCTCCAGAATTCGCCATAAGGAGCAAACGCTACATCCTTAGAGCCATAAATTAGTCTTTCAGCGATGCTTGATTTTGGCCTGTTTAAAAGACATAATTTAAATAAATAAATTTTCCCGTTTCTAATAGCTTAAAAGTAGACTACATGGTTCAACATATATCAGAGCTTTTGATGTATCCACTATCCTCTTCGGTCTAGAATTTCATAATTGAACCTTAAACCCATTTCAAATGATAGAGATGCAGTGATTTCCCTCTTTATGTTAATATATATTTGCAAAGATCGACAGACAAAATGCCTTATTATTCTTACATGTTCCTTATTAAAATAAATCTATCATCCTTTAAAAGCTTAAGCATTTAAACGAGGCAATTCAACCTGACCTGTTTGAGAAAATCAAATCATGATCTTTCATGACCTTGCGTGCTGCATCGGCAGAGGAGACGACCAACACTGGCACGCTGCCCAGATGAATTAACATAAGTGGACCACAACGTTTAGACAGTGATTGGAGCGAGCGGTGGGGGTATAAGCCCAACTGATGAAGATTTCCGATCACGGGAAACCTTGAAGGAGAAGGCGGCAACTTGTTTCGAGATGTTGAACTTGAAGCAGCATCATAGAACACTTTGCAAAGGAAGATGAAGAACAAGAAAAAGCAAAAAAAAGCAACAATCCAGTGTGAAATGAACATGATTTTCTTTTATGTATTACGAGATTATCTTCTTATGTTGGACGAATTTATATATTGATGGGTTCTTAAGGAAAGGAACACCGAATTGGTTTTCTCCACAAAAAACGTAAAATTCTGTGTCCACATGCTGCATGAAGATTAGATTGTTTGACCTTGGTTTCTCCTTTTTATCTACCGAGAGGAAGTTGTTTATAATTTTTTAATAATCATTCAAATTTCTTTTTATTTATACATTTTGGTGATATCTAGTCACCCCTCGTTATCTTTTTATAATTTAAATCTATTATAAACAACTTTAAAACATACTTCTACATCATGTTTGGCAAAGCTTGTAATAACTATGGATGGTTCAAACTTTATTTTTATTTACATATTTTATAGAACCTATAATTTTTTTCAATTTATTATTCATATATTTCGAAAGATTCACAACTCATGATCGAATAAGACTTTGACAAACATGTCAAAAATGGTTTTGAGTACATTTTCTTTTATTTTCTTTCTAGCACTCTCGTTTTTGGCAATTTTTAGCATCGATTTAAGGGAATAAAAGAGCGCAATATTCATATGTTTTTAGTTTCAATTTCTCTAACTCTCTATCGAATACGTCTTTGGAGTGCAAATTAGACATTTTCCGAAAGGATTCTTGCCTAGCAATTTCTATATATAGAAGAAAACACATGAAAACATTTTTATTGGATAAAAACACATCCATTAACATTACTAGTATTGTTCGATCATTGTTTTAGGAAAAATGTTCTTTATCCAGTTGAAAGGGAGAAATTATTGATTCTGAAGTACTATATCCAAGTAAATTGGTGCACATATCTTCCAGGTTGAGAGTTAGTCTCACAATCTTCTATGAAGATGATGTTTCTTCGAGGATATATCAAGAAAGACACGATAAAGTATATTTCAACACAAATTTTATATACATGAGTTTCAGGATAATGCTGGATCGTGTTAGGTTTTAGATTATTTGTAATTGGCGATTCTGGTGAACAAAATGACTGAAAGTGACATATTGTAAAAGTTCAAGGAGAGCAAATATGTTGAAAATAGAGTTTTTAGGTCTAGGGTTCGAGAATGGCAAAAAGAGGAAAACGGCGCAGATTTTCACTGAACTATTGCCAAAGTTTGGGTCGAACTACAAAAACAGAAACTACATCGCTTGACTGTCGCTCTGCCTTCGCTCGAGCAACAGCTTTATTTGGAAAATTTTTATTTCGCGTTTTAAAAGCTTTTTACATGGCCCATTCATTTTTCTAACCTACCTATAAATACCAAAATATATTTGAACGTATTTGATGAGATTGAACTTAGAGAGAAAAAGGCTACAGAGTGTTTCCTTCATATTTGATTCTTTCAACCTTCATCTGTGAGAGTTTTTGTGAGAAAAAATTAGTTCGATAATCCAAATACCAAACTGTTGTTTCTGTACATTTGATCAGAGTGCTGAAGATCGAGAAAATTTGACTGAAATTCTAGCCTGTGAAGAATGCGGCGTTTTTCATGGTTCCACATGAGATAAACGATTTCACAAAGTTAGGAGTTGTTGCAAGAGAGCAGATCCCAGGAGATCTTTGAAAACTGCAGTTGGGAGTGGTGTAGTAGTACAGAATCCAGGAAAACTGTTGAAATTACAATCAGGAGATCGGATAGTACGTGTCGTCGTCTAGGCTAGTAGACTGTAAGTTACATATTGTTTATAGTGGATTGTTGACGGGCAAAGTGCCCAAAGTTTTTCTCAATTGGTTTTTTCCATGATCATTCCGATGTTTGATTTATTGCTTTACTATTCATTGTTTATTATACAACTGTGATAATTCAATTTAGGATAAATTGACTTGAATGTTGAATCATCTAGAAAAGAATTAAAAAATGACTTGTTGCTTATTAATACGTAAAAATATTTTAATTTCCCATATAATACATATTCACACCCCTCTAAGTATTATTAAGATCGAACTGTGCAACTTTCAGATTGCATTGTTGTTCAACAAATTGTTCAAGTAACCATGCAGCTATTTTTTTGACAAAATCATCTTTTACATACATTTAAGAATAGGTCAACAATATCGACTGAACTATTTTTCTCTTTATTTAGGTATTTAGCTAGTCATTCAATAGAAAGTTTTGCAAATCAAAGATATTTACGAACAACTATTTTACTCTTTTAACATTAATTTTATCCCATTATAATGGGTCTTTATTTACATCTAGTACACTCAAGTTTTCACTAGAGACGATAGTGGGGTGGGTTCGGGGCCAAAGTGCCGTCGCGCCCTGCCTTAAATGGGCGGGACAGGGAGCGGGCCTGCCCCGTTTCTTACTCTTTTTTTTTTCAAAAATTTTCAGTTAAAATATAAATTCAAAATTTTTAAATCCAAAACAAATAATATTCAAACTAACTATATCAATATTCAAAGGAAGCATTTGAAACAAAAAAATGTCCAAAACAAATTTTTTTTAAAAAAATTCTTCACGGGGCGGGTTTGGGGCGGGGCAACTTCCCCCCGCCTCACCCCGCG